CTAGTAACTTATGATGTATTCAAGAGTCTTTGGTTATTCTGGTCTTACATTCAATGACATGGCATTGTTGATTAATTAGTTATGTATTATGATCTTAACATTTCAGGTACAATCTGTTGAAGATTCTTCAAAAGTTTGGCGAGATAAAGTATTTTGAGTATCTCTTTCACACAAGTGGACCTTTGAAAGGGGAACCAAGGGGATATTGCTTTGTAGAATATGMCACAAGAGAGGTGAAATATTAAYGATATCACAAGTGATTGATATATGYACTTTATAAAATATTCTTGACAAKCTTAATCRCAAWAATTTAAATAAACACATTTTCTAGCAAAAATTCACAATCCCAGAGTTAAATGGTTTAGCATAAGTTATCTAAACTAACCTTTTGATTCATGACAATAATCTGTTACATTCACCTTTAGGAAGCACTWAAAGCTCTTCAAGGTTTAAATGGCAAGATGGCTTTATCAAGAGCATTAGCCGTTCATTGGGCCAAAGAAGATCAAAGCAAAACACTTCCAGAGGTTTGCTTTACRCATTTRTATAAATGCTAAATTYCTCTTCCACTAAACCAAGCTTTTAGAGAGAAAAGTAATACATAACTAACCAAGAGAAAATAGTTTTTTTTGAACAACATTAAAATAAAACATCAAGAAAACAAAACAAAGCAGGTTCTTCTGTACCATGCTGAGATGTCAGCATACTAATAATGGAGCATACTAGTGTAATTTGAGTGAGTCTTAAGGCTGATTTACACGGTACGATTTGTTGCGAGCGACTTGTAGTATACGATTTTCCTACTACAAGTCGTAGGATTTTAAGCAGTGGTTCAAAAACCTACTACAAGTCGTAGGTTGCGTACGACTGTTGTAGACAAGTCGTARGGGCATTTACACTGCGTGATTCAAGTCGTATACTACAAATCGCACGAGACAATCGTGCCGTGTAAATCAGCCTTTAGCCTCCTCTGCAGGCATCACTAATAATCATGGGCTTCCTGTCTTTTTTGTTTTCTTTCCAAGATGACCGTTACAAAGGAAGCCCAAACGCGAAAAAAAGAGTTGCCTGGGGAGGAGACTAAGTGAGTCTCATTTGCTTTGATTTATAGGAAAAAAAGACCAAGTCGTCAGAAGACACAAAGCCACCATGTTATGGATCACTTTCATTGGTTAGGTATGACTCACATTTCTGTAATTTCATTCCTTGTATATAATTTTACAGCTTCACCAAGTACATATACTCCAGAGAAAAACATCACCTTGCATCCCCAAATGTGGTTTTTATTTTTATTTCCTGGTTATCTTGATACAAGGAATTTCAGACTTAACATTTAACAAAATTTCAACTTCAACTGACTACAGCCATAATCCATAGGATTTTTATTCAAAAATTTTTATTTATTATTTATTTATATTATTTAAAAATGCTTCTTTTCCAGTAATGATTCAAAGATACAAGCCATAGAAGCCAARCTAAGACKAATGGAAAGTTCAAGYTACAAYGATGATGTTAATTTAACTGGTAGAAGCAAGCACCCACTTCTTGAAGAAAGCGAACGCAACAAGAACAAACCTTAYTCATATCGACCAAAAAATAAACGTAAAACAGACTGGAAAGTTTTAAAGAAACCAAGGTGACTTGAAAAGAGGGATTGTATAATCAGTGAACAAAGTAATGGTCCGCATGGGAATTGCTTTTCATGATACTACAAAATTGCTGCATGTCATATTGGATTACGATCAACTATCAAGGGAGCTCTCTTCAAAGTGGTTAAACTATCATTGGCATGTGGATTTTAAACTAGTTGGATGACTGATTACACTTCAGCTAATGTAATTCTGCAAAGATTACATTACTGGTTATTGCTGCAGTAAATAGTGCTGTGTTTCATTGTCAACTGGTAAAGAACAAAAATATAGTTCTAATGACAAATGAAAAATTATTTAAAACTCCAGTTTATTTATGTTTTGCCTGGCAGAAGAAACACCAATGAGTTCTTGTGGATTCTTCAAATTCTGAGGGAAAAATGTCATCAAACTCCATTTACGGCTGATTGCCTCATCTAATAACATTCAACATCATCTAGCCTGTGTAGCGGCCCTAAGGGGTTGGGGAAGGCAGAGCATTCCTTTTTCTCGTCCTCATTCTCTGCTCGGCCCTCCCCAATCCCCTTAGGGCCACTACGTAGGCTAACATCATCAAAAATGGTAATTATTGGGTTTTTCAATGTTTGATAGCAGGGGAAAAATTGACTTCAATTGAATTCTGCACCATACTAAGCATGCTATGTAATAATTTAGAGTAAATGCACTTATCCTTGAAACTTAAAGGGCTACTTGGACGAAAATTGCGAAACATTAGAAAAGACTTGGAAATCAAATAGACCTATCCATATGGGTCTAATAATCATGAAGCAACAGATTTCAAGAAGATATTGATACAAATCCTTAATAATTTGGGCAAAAAATGTTGGAGTAGATGACATCATTTACTCCATCCTTTTCTTCTTCCATCTTTTGAATCAAATTTTCTCTGACGTGGGATTATTCCAAAACAAATATTTTCCAGCAATTGTTTTTAATAGATATATATATGAGTCATATACTTGTATTGCTTGAAGTTTTGAAATAAGACCATTTTCATGCAAGTAGCACTTTAAGTAGTACAAAATAGATGCTAATTCATTTGCCTCCAATTGTCCAATCACACCATTATTATCTGTTTCATACATAAGATAAAGTGTGTCTACTCTAGTATTATCTACTGCCTAATCGAGAAATGTATTATCCATGGCTAAGTGGAAGCACTATTTTTTTCTGATAGAGTACAAACATTAAATGTGTGCAACACTTTCCACTAATTACTACAAAATAGTGTTGATTAAACAATAGAAAACAATAGAATTAGCATAATTTAGCAGTATTTAGTGGTATTTATGTTGCACAGTTTTAGTGTTTGTACTCTAAAATACAATCTACTAGTAACTAGTAATGAGCAGAAAATGTTATTTTTATTATATAAAAAGAAGAAAACATTATTTTATATGTAGTTCATTTACATTTTGTATAGAAATGATTTTTAGTAATTACAGTAAGGAGAAATAAGGATTCAACTGCTTGTTTGTTGTTCTCGTGATTTTTCTCTCATTGTGTTCTGACTTCGTGACAATGGAGACTTTTCCTTGGACGTTTCATTCTTCAGCACGTGAAGCAAAGTCTGAGAACTTTCCAGAATCTGTAAAAAATGACAATTGCAATGTATGTTTATAAGCATTTGTAAACCATATCCAAGTCCCTTGGAAACCTTATGAACTCTAAACTCTAATTAATCTGTCTCTTAATTTCAATTTTTTCAGAGAGTTTGGTTATTTTTGGAATTTGAGTTGGCCGATTTTGTGGCGTAAAATTGCAAAGCTTCCCAGAAATGTATAGAAAATTGGAGAAGCAAGCTTAGTTCTCTTACGTGATAGTTTCGTTCATTCTCTAATATAGAGGATCAGATAGAATTGTTCATCCAAAACCTTTTTTAAGTATAATATTTCAGGGTTTTTTAGTCAAGAAGGCTGGCAAATCATGCCTATCAACTACTCTGCGAACAGAGGTACTTTTCTCACCCGCCGAAAAGCTTTTCGGCGGGTGAGAAAAGTACGTCTGTTCGCAGAGTACCTATCAACAGACATGAAGATGCAAAATATTTTTTAAGAATACACATTATTAATACTCATTCTACCTTCATATAAGCTGCTTCAGTTTCAGCTATTGTCTTGTCATATTCATTTCTTGAAGCAATTTTCCTAGCGAGACCCTCATTGATTTTAGCCAGTCTTTCTGTTAAAATTCTGATGTCATTTTGTATCTTTGTCTTTTCTTCCTCTTCTGACAGAATCTGTTTCTGTAACTCATCTCTCTTTGTACATAAATCTTCAATACCTATCATGGAAGAGAATATCAAACTGAAATTGCAAATATTTGCAAGTAATAATAATTACTATCAAGTATTTTTACATTAAGTGGAACCACGACATTTGTTTCCTTGATAATTTGCCTTGTATTTACATGTAGCTAGCGCTCTTTTGTAAAGGATTTGTTGNATATCCATATCATTTTAACTTTTCTTAACTTATTCACTGAAAAAAAAAAACAATTTAGAGTTTTAAGATTTCTCTGTACGTAGGAGTCATATTCGATTTACAACACTGCTTCGTATCACTAGTCCCTGATGATGTATCAAATGATCCGAAAGCTTGAAATCAAACATATACAAACGTAGACGAAGCAGTGTTGTAATGGAATTTAGAGTTTACCTTTTTTTTGTTTGATTTTTTTTTTGAAGTATACATGTAACAACGTTTATTTGTATATATATACAAATGATTCTATTATTATTATTATTTAAACATTTATTCTTATTCTATATATCTATGTATAATCTTTTTATTACAGCAATTGTAACATTTGTTATGTATTTTTAACGAGTGAATAAAGACTTATTATTATTATTAAAGTGCACATGACACCTTTTAGAAAAACACTTTTATCCGAAAGTTTGCACGCTGCCAACTACTTCTGCGAAAAAAGAAATAGATTTTGAATTGTATTTTCTGAGTTATAGACATTTGAAAATTGAAAATGCAAATGAAGTGACGTCAACTAAGGAATTGATCCAGTCTTTTTACATTGTTTGCGCTATGCTGTTCTTGGTTGAAGAGCACAAATCATCAATCATAGTAATAATCGAGAGCTGAAAATGCTTTTTCCAATGTAACAAAAAGAATAACGTTCTCTTTCATGATTTTGTATATTAAATCATTCCTTAGTAGACGTCACTTCATTTGCATTTTCTAAGTTTTAATCGCCCATAACTTACAAAATACAATTTGAAATCAATTTCTTTCTTCACAGATGAAYTKARCAGYATTTTCTCTTTTGGATGAGAGTGAATTTCTAATGGTGTCATGTGCACTTTAAAGAAAAGTTTGTGTTATTTAGATGCGTTCAATCAAAGGGGTGGGCATTTGGCCAGTGGCATTCACAGGAGCAGCAAGATGGTCAGGTCCAATTTGCCGAGATGGTAAAGTGCTCAAATTCCATAACAACTGGAAACCATGGCGAAAGTTTCCTATTGACATGGCAGGGTTCGCGATTAATATAAGAAAACTTATTATGGAATACCCTCATGCGTCATTTCAGCCACAAGTTCGCCCTGGCCTTATGGAGACGTCTTTTCTGGAGCAAATGACTACGTTAGATGAGCTGGAGCCCAGAGGAGATAACTGCATGAAGGTAATATAGATTTTTTGCAAGAAAACCTGCCCGATCATTGACATCCTTGAATCGGTGTGGCACCGAAGGTACCGTGGAGACAGCCCTAAACTGAGAACGCGTACTAATATAGTCATAATATAAAATATGATGAACCAAGACCCATGCTCTTCTAGATAGAAAACCTGTTTTAAACTGTTTTAGTTTGTTGTGGCATTTTTGTTTCACATTAAAATCAAATTTTGACACTTCTTTCACAATAT